TGAGTTCACGATAATGTCGTTTCAAAAAATCAGTGGTCTCCCCCATTGGTGATAACCTAATTATTTCACGGTTCAGAGACCGGTTTTGCTCTGGGTTTCGTTTCAATGAAAATTGTGTCAAAGTAACTCATGAAGTTTGGAGCTAGGAATGGGTCCTTAATATACTTTACAATCTGTTCAATCCCCTATAGTTTGTATCATGTTTGAGGGATCTCAAGTTACCTCAAGGGATAGAACTAGTCTCGAAAATTTGTTGGGCAATATTTGATTTATCGAACTGATTATATCGGACGTGAGCAATATGTTCTTTATTTCTTGTGCATGTGCTTCAACCTGTTGACGCAATATACCACACATGCTACAGTCACTACAGTTTTAATGTCACCTAGAAGTCTAAGATCGTTGTTTTCAAAATTCCCAGTATGTATACGTCTTGTGTAATGACCATGTTGATGTTATGACTTATGAACGTGACTATATTCTGTATTCCAAGAAACAAGAAAGTGTTTCATAGTGTTCCAACTAGCAGCAATTCACCTAATGATGGATATTACTCATTGTACCAGAAAAAATAAAGAAATAGCTGCCGTGTAAGTCATAGATCAAAAGTGAGTAAATCATGTGTGAATTATTAATTTTGTTTACTCATGATTGATGATCATTGTCAAATTGATGTAAATTTGATATTGCTAACTATGTTTATTGGATAACAAGGACAAATCCAATGAACTCAACTGTTTCTGCGGACGATTATCTTATTATCGTCGGAAATGAAATCGACCCACATGAATGGAATAAAGTATGTTTATATCTAATCTGAATGTTTTCTTCCGTTATTTTTTTGTCGTTTAAAAACTTAGTCATATCAAATACTGTCTGTAGTTTGATGCAGGAAGTGGAATATTCATTTCTCTAGACTTTTCAAATTTTCTCTCCGCCCTTCTATAAATCAAAATATAAATATTATTTCAATATACCTGTGGATGATCAGATGAATTGCTCCAAATAAATGTCACTGCGCTCATATCACTATTCGAAACCCGAGAGAAAAATTTAATCATTAGTCAGTAGTTTGAAAAATGTTTGAAGATTGAAAGGAGAAGAAGTCAAGAAGGCTAGCAGCAGTTCATTTTCAGTTTATTTTCAGGGTGTGATGGGGAAGACCACTGAGAGGAGAACTCCGTGCAAACCTCTTTCAATCGACGAATCATGATTCACGTTTGATGTACAATCATTATTATGAGTTAAAGTTGAAGGGAATCGAATCTATATAGTTTTGAAATCAGCATATTTCATTCGATATTTCAAACAGCCAAATATGATGATGTAGTCGTGACGTATTAGTCCCGAACTGTAGCTATCTCTCTCTGATACATCGTCATTCTGCAGTGTTGCAGCGTGATTGGTCAGTTCAAGGACAATAGGCGTGTTGGGAATAAGACGTCGCACCAGTCACACCAATGAATTGACAAAATTTCAAATGGCGCAGGAATTGTGTGATATTTATTTTTTCCATCGTCTTAGCATAAATGACAAAATTCAAAATCAATTCGCTGGTAGTTTTTCAGTATAGAGTTCACGATAATGTCATTTTAAAAAATCAGTGGTCTCCCCCATTCTTCAAATTATCGTTATCACCTTAGTAACAAACGTGAAAATGTAACTTATTTCTTCTGAATCCCTTGTATATCTTATAGAAATAAAGTGATTGCTATAAATAAGAGAAGGAAATGTATTTGCTGGATTAAAAATGATAACTTACATGGTCTAACAGCACAGATTTGCTCCAAAATCAGAGTAAGAAGCCAATTTTTGTGTCACCCTGTATAATAACAGCATAACCCGAATTTCGAAACTTCAAATTGAGTACATAATCGTCACCCGCAAGAAGAGAAATTTGAAGTGAATTCAGTACAAAACGAAATTTAAAAAGCACGAGTTTTTTTTTCTGAATCAATTATCATGTTGATGCGAAGTCTATAAGAATACCTAATCATATACAATAGATTGTTATCGATGGAGGCACCTTGTTCTTTCGGAGAAGTACACTTCAAGGCTGATATTTACATAAATTCGTGCACAACTTATAATTTATACCTATCTTCACGTCATTCGAACACGATTTTGCTTTTGCCGTATTCTGTTTTATGTCAAGCTCGGCTCGAAGCTCGGTCACATTTGCGTACTACACATTCCCATCCCCGACATCAACTTTCAGACAAGATGTTCGATGATATTCCACAAATTGGATGTCCAATTTTTTCGTGAATAAAAAATAATAGGAAATATATCTAGGTATCAACAATGTCAACAATGAATTTAATTCCAAATATATTTTGATAACGGCTTTTCTAAAACATAGGCACAATATTCGATAGAATTAATGATAAGCAAGAAAAATATGATATGTGTGAGATATCTATAGTAATCATAACGTACACAAAAATAATAACTTGAGAATATTCATATAATTAGTGATGTAGTCATGCGGCAAATGAATAAAATCATGCAGAGAAAGTTTTTAATAACAATACACATACATATTACGTCAATTCATATTATGCTTGTTTGTTATTGTTATTTTATTGAGAATTGAATTTTTTTGGGTGAGGGGAATAGTTCGATATTTCATTAGAAAAATACATTTGAATTGAACACACTGTATGATACTTTTGTCAGGAAACTGAACTAATTTTCAAAATTATATATACATTTATAATAATAATAATAATATTAGTGATAAATCGATTTTAATATTCCGCTGCTTATTAAAAATAGTGCTTTTTCCTTATAATACGTTGTGCTGCCTAGTAAAACAAATAACTATGGATTCTTCATACAGGGTGTCCCAAAACTTAACGTCTAAATTTGGAGGGCTGATAATGCAGCTCATAAATAACCAGAATATCACAATATGACCTCAGTTAAATATTGATTGATTGATTTTTGTTATGCAATATGTAATTACCCTACTATTGATTACAATCCAAAATAAATTAAATACAAAATAAAAATATTGGTGCAATACCAGTCCGAGTAAGTTAATAAAAATGAATTAACTCGTGAATCAGTCAAACACGTTTTTTTTTCTCCAAAGGTATCGCACCATTATTCTTAATTTTGATTGTAATCAATAGTAGGGTTAATACAGGTAGCATAACAAAAATTAGAATCCTAAACTATGAAGTATTGTACCTGCGGCACTCGAAATACTGATCGATGGTTCAGATTTTCACGAGGATTTTTACGAAATTCATTCATCTCAAAAACTATCAATATTTTAATGAGGTCATTTCAATTGCCGACCGGTCGCGACTACTTGGACCACCATTCTTCTAAAAGGAGACAATAGCATTGCTTCCTGTTCAGTTGATATTGATAGAACATGATATTCACTACTGAAATCTGAAAATGGTAAATTCAAGATTAATTAATGAAAACATCCTGTCTCTCATTTGATAGCCAACATCACCAATTGTCACTGGGAACTGAAAAGTGTCAGGACAAATACGAATTTGCCATACGAAAAATTCATTTTTTATTTTGAAAACGGGAGCAGATTCGTTTCCGAAACGTCCAAAGATCATCTGATTTGTCCTAACTACACGTAAATTGAAATAGTATTCAAATTTTTCTCTACGACTATCGTATTCTACATTGATTACATATAGGTTAGTAATTGATGGATGAAGATGATTCCAAGACACCGTGGATCCCAACTCATTATTCAACGGCACTCGACCAATCACAGATTCAGAATTTTCAGGATCCACAGCAACTGAAACGGTTAGACTAATGAAAAACCAGCAAATCTACAAAACAGATTTCTCAAGAAGGCTCTGCTTCATTTTACGGGTCACGTCATGGCTTGACTTTCGCGAATTTCAGATTGACTTATAGAGTCTTTTAAGTTTTAACTTTGATATCTGGAGGATATAATGGAGGCTTGCCGTTCCATAGACATGTACTCTATGAATATTGAAGACATTCAAGATCTTGGATATCCATGGATGATAACTATTCCTGAGACCAAAACAAAAATTGTAAGGAGGTTCACTGTAACCGGGAAATTTTATCAATTTTGTGAAAAATACATTGATATACGAGCAGCAAATGTTGGGATATCCAATTTTTTCATAAATTACCAAAAAGGAAAATGTACTCTTTAGAAAATTGGAATTACTACTAAGTTTGCAGCAATGGGAAAACAAATAGTTACATTTTTGAAGCTACCAAATCCCGAGATGTACAACGGGCATTGCTTTGCTTGTCAATGCAGGTGGAGGTATAACAGCATTGAAAAGACATGGCTGGAAGAGCACATCGGTGGCAGAAGGATTTCTAGAAGATTCCATGTTGAATAAAAAAAACGGCAGATTCGAATTCTTCAATGAATCGAACAATGTTCATCTGGTTCATCATCATCAAATAACAGTTCCTTCACACAAGAAACATCAACTAGCAATATGAATAAAAATGTCAGTGTTGATTTAAATGCAACTCCAACAGTAAAATTTCACGAATTGTGAGAATATCACTAAAAATTTAGTCACTAAGTACGAGAAACATAATTTACTGACCTAATAATTATTGTGTTGTTTCATCATTGAGTTCGTTGAATATTAAAGATTCTTGTCAATTGTATTATCATATCATTAAAATTCATACATCAAGTATATTATTTTCCATAAATGGTAATTAGATTACATCAAATTTCTGACTATCGTATAGTCGTAGAGAAAGTATAGTCTTCTACTCGCGTATAATAGCTATTATTCTCTCGGATAATTCCGAAACTCGCCAACGGCTGGTTTCGGAATCATATCCTCGGGAATAATAGCTATCATTATACGCTCGTTGAAGAATATACTATTATTTCATAGAGACGAGGAGAGAAAATCCCAAAAAAATCTGGAATAATGAATGGAGAAATTAACTTCCCACCTTCTCGAACAACCCACACAGTATCTAATATCGTCATTGGTCCTCCGAATTTCCAGTTGCTCGCCTGGATGACCGATCGCGGCCATGAAAGCTGACCAACAAGCCTCCTCGCTCGCCGCGAAGCCGTCCCCTCTGAACGCGGGCCTCCTGATGGCCCCCGCAGCAGCCGCTGCCACCACGGGAGCCCTGCCCAAACCCAACCTGCAGCACAGACGGGCCGGCTCCACGGGAACCACCGGCGACGAGTCGGGCACCACCGACGACGAAGACGTCGACGAGCCGGACATCACCATCAGGGATCACGTGACGCGGCGGCTGTTCGACGATGCGGGGGCGTTCGGGTCCTATTCGGACATCGCCACCATCACTGACAAGGTGAGTGGATACCTCGGTGAATACTGATGACGTTCCCACCGATACATTATAGGGAGTTGACGTCATCTTAACATAAGAAAAATATCGTTTACGAATTGTCTTTAGATTGAGCTCTTTTCTACCTTGAACCAAGGATGATTGATATACTGTGCCTCTTCCATATTCCTCTTCAATGCTACCAACCTGGCCACATTGAAATGTAGAGAGATCCAATAAATCTTTTATTGTCTATTCTCTAGTCGTGTCACTGAACTATTTTCGATGTTATTCGCGATAGAAAATAACACTTCGTTCCACCTGACGGTAACAACTCGAACTTTGAGCGATTTGTTTTGGTGATGTGACCAATAAGCACAAACAAAAAACAAATGTGAACCGATGAAAACAAAGTAAACATGCCGCTTTGACAGCTTTCAAGAACTCCGATAGGTGGTGTGGTGTGATCTGCTTACACCTTATTCTATATTAAATGTTTTAATGTTTGAAGGATTAGATTGTCATTGTCAGAGAATTAATTAATTACATCTTTCAGAAGTTACCTTTATTTTCATTGTGATACTATTGTATCTACAGTGGCGTACGCTTATTTTCTATCGCGAATAATGATATTCTTTCCTTTAGGAACTGACATATTGCACTTGGACTGAACTGAATCAGTTAATATGCATTCTAACTAATCGGATTCTTTCGAAAGAAGACATAATGAATGATTCAGTTGTTCTAGTGAGATATTTCACTTAGTTCAGATTATAATGATGTGATATGCCTATGTCATACATGTCATTGACAGATAACCTTTCAAATTCCTGAAATGGAATTACAGATTATATCATACTTATTTTGACATATTTTGTTAATATCGTTTATTTGACACTCTGTTGAATTAAAAAATAGTTCAGTGGCACAAACTAGATGTTAAACAAGGAAGGATTTTTCGGACCTTTCCATATTTCAATGCGGCCACGTTGGTAGCATTGAAGAGAAAGATGAAAGAGGAGATAACTTTTCTCTCTCGCTCAAGGTAGAAAAGTGCTCAATCCCGAATTCAATTTTTTTTACTCATCGGCATATTTGGAGTATAGTTTGGTTATCCTACGTTGATATTCAAGGTATACGTGAAAGTACGTGAGATAACGTACACCCGTAAGCCCACTACCAACGCGAACGTGAAGAATTGAGAAAGGCGCATGCGTAGCTGTCAATTCCTACGTTGTTGTTCTTTATTACCCCAAGAAACATATTTGTTTATAATAGGGATACATAAACATATGATATATATATATATATAACAATAACAAAAAATTATCGAGTTATGTCAATTTAACATACGAATTAAAATAATATCATTCCAAGTATTCAAATGAGAATAAATTGCTCCGTTTATAGTGTCAACACTTCAACTGTCTATCAAGGCCTGCACGTTTTACGGTGCCGTAAGAGTATTGCAGACTTCTTTACCGTGATACGGCAGCATATTGGCAGATACGAAAAACCGCACAAAAAAGAGATAGGTGGAGAACGAAAATGCTTCCTATTGCTGTTCGAGATGGGTCTTCTACTCTGATGAATTTGAACGACCTTTTTGGGCATGTGAAAATATCAAATATTGTGAATTATCGGAAAGGCGAAGCTTGAAAATAGGTCAAAAGATATTTATGGAGTCGAAACTGAATTGTTCAGAGCTAGAGAGCTCATTGAAATATGTAAATAACTGTTATAATATAGAACCGAATTAGAAATTCAGCAATACCTCACAAAAATATCAGTACGTTCTTGAAATGTCTCAACAATGATATTTACTTCAAATAATAAGATCTGTAAGTTAGTGCTAAAGTTGGTTTTCCATTTTTTAACATTGTTCACGTGATCTAATATAGAGTAAGCCATAGGAAATGATCTGTTTCCATAGTAAAGAACGTTCAAAACGGTTCAAAATGAGCAAATTTCCAAAATTATTCTGTATAGTTTATGAGAATTCGTGAAGATATAGTCTCGGCTCCTCCACCATTTTCATGACGTACTACTCAGAACAGTTAAAAATGTGAGCCGTTTTACGCCAATACCGCGTTACAAGATTTATCGATAAATCTAATGATTCGGAAACCTGCTCTAATAACATCATAGTTAGCAATGGTATTATGGTATACCAATACCAATAGCAATGGTACCTGAAATGACGTATTGATAAAATTATATACCGAATACCTGATGAAATGGAAATTAGTGAAGAAATATACATATTAGAAATAGTGTACTGAACTGATTGACGATTATAGAATTATGAGTATATACAAAATAACGGTGATGCTGACAGCTCGTTTTCGAGGTTGATCATTCTAATTTTAATTTCTGTTGAAAGGTGATTAAGAGATATTTCAATTTCTCCAAATGTCACTATCGATCTAGGTAGTACGTTATAGTCTACTCCATTAGTAATTCTAAATTGCTGTCTTTCGGAAAATTAAATAATTTGAATTGCCATACTAGATATAAGAAACCTAATACTAGGTAGTTGAATAATAATTCTATGATAATTCGTTTGTATTGTAACTCCATTTATCTAATTTTTCCATAAGAAATATTATATGTGTCAGACTATTCCTGTAGGAGTGATGAACGCGTTTCGTTCCAGGTCGGCCACCTAAGAGTGACGCACCTGAACAGCTCTGACAGTTCAATGTGCAGCGACAAGTCTCCCGAAGACGTCATCAAAGACAGCGGTGCCAGCGGCAGCGATCACGTGGACTGGGCGGGGCCTACGTTAGTCGAGATGAAGGAGCAGGCGTTCCTCAGGCTGCAGAGCGAGCTGAAGGACGCCAACCAGGAGCTGAAGCTGCGCGACCAGGAGCTGGGCAGGCTCAGCAGGATGCGGCAGGACGTCGAGGCTGAGTTGGAAGATTTGACGGCTAGTTTGTTTCAGGTTGGTGATTTTTGTTGACTCCATACGCACTGCTAATTCGAACGTAGCATTCATAAACGTATAAAAAGAGAAGAGACGAAATTGTTTACATTCTGTCCCGATCCAACATCGTATTTGGCAGAAAGCGATGATGACAAATTTCTGCGGATTGCCCTAGATCTATACCCTCTGTGTTTGAAAACCAGGGAAGCATTATAATCATACATTGATTATATACCTAATAAACATTTTTGATGTATTATAATTCTGTTGGTTTGTTCTTCCTTTGAAATTCTGTGAATTCTGAAATTATAATAATAATGTATTATACGTATACGTTACTACGAGTTACGAGTTATTTTTCTAAAAGTCATTCACTTATATATCAAAATCCGACGTTACAGTGTAGTTGTGCTGTGTTTGTTACCATTTCAGAAATGTGGGTTTCAATTGATTTTCAGTGTTTTCTTGTTAAAAAACTATATAAAGACAATCATTAACAATCTACTATGGATCCTAAAAATGCACACCATTCGAACTCCAAATTGATATTTCGACGGTTAGTTAGGAGATGCTTGTTTTAACTTGAGCAGTGGTGTAGTTTTCACAGGTTATTCAACTATATAAATTATTGCAAATCACGTTGTATCTTCTTTTTGAATTCCAATGAATTATAGATCAAAATATGGTAAGTACCTAAGGTACTACGAATATTTGATATTAAAATTGGAAGATTAGACCCAAAATTTTTCTAATAGGTTATAAATAGCGTTGTCATTGCAGTAAAATTGACTTGCCCCTCGCTTATCCTACGCGAATGGTAAAGACAAGTGTGAAGATTGACGCACAGTTTACAGCGTTGCCATTTTTTAAGCCATCTCTTTCTTACTCATTTGAAATTTTGGAGGCTATATATGATTGTAAACAAATAGTGTTTTATGAGTGAAATGTTATGTCTCCACTGTTTTTATATGTCCATGGTAGCATATTGGATTGTAACAAATATTTTCCGGCCAAGACTACGAAACTCATACCAAAATAATACCAGTAAATATAATTTCGAATTTTTCCATCCATACTAGGGCAGCCAAAAAAATAAATACATAAATAGTTTTCATTTGATAACACACACTTCCTGCTCCATTTGAAATGATGTCAAGTCATTGCATTGTGACTGGTGTGAGATATTAGTCCCGATAAGCCTATTGTCCTCAAGCTGACCAATCACATTGCAGGATGCTCGGCACAACACAAAAGAGAATATTTTGAGACAATTGATATTCCATTGATAATTAGGAATATTGCCAATACATAATTGAGAATTTATGAAATATTGCTCCTCCTTACGAAATCATGACGTCAGTTTCCACTAGCGGTACATTTTTAGCCGTTTGAGAATTACTATGGCTTTATTGATGATTTTATCTCCTTAAAATCGACCGCAAAATTCTAAAAAAATAAGAAATTGAAAGGTATTTGAGTAATGATAATATTATTTCAATCGTAAGCAATCATAAGATAAGGAGAAGAAAAGAAAGTTACTGTGATGTGATCGGCTTGTTTATACTGACCCTCCAAAGTGTAAGAACGTGTTCCGAGGCTTAGGGGTAGATAGCATGCATGACCAATATATAATATAAAGCAGATTCTTCCCTATTTAAACGTTCCCACATAAATATCAATCATCACATAGCCCAACATCCTCATGCTTTCCTCAACGTTGAATTTACAGTTAACGATATCCATGTCTCTCGAACTTTCATCAGACCACTATAAGCTCGATGGTGAATTTTTAATGTGAACCGTTTAGCACTGTTTTGGCTAGGCGGGTACCTACATATTGAAATTACTTAATTACCCACTTACCTTATATTGTGTGGACGAGAAATTCCAATAAACTGTTTAGCAATAGCTGAAGACTGTGTCGATACCCTCGTGTGGTTGCAAAGTATAGTGCAATAGAATTTGTTGAGTTGTATATTATCGGATTCTTACGGAGGCGTAGGAGTCAGATGCGTGTGTTAAAACTCATAACTCGAAATTGGGTTAATTATTACTAATTATCACCAATTTCCAGTTACAACTCAAAATTAGTACCTACATTAGGATATTCTGTACAAGCGATAAATTAGAGGGAAGAGATGGAGATTAGAGATAATCAACATTGTGACTACAGGGGCTTGTGTTGTGTTGCCGTCATTGCTGGCACGGCAATACAATTATTAGCACTGCTCGGTATAGGGTTGACAGAACAGAATCAGTCCCTCTGAAACCTTGCACCTTTATTAACACTCAACACAATGTATTCTTTACAACGCTTCAAATAAGAATGAATCAACCTGAAATGCCTCCTGATCGGATACAGTCATTTGTAGATAGGTGACTAAACCTTATGTAACCACTAACTAGCTCTGTGCTTCTAATGGTACAGGGCGTCCGGCATCTGGCTAGTCGCTAACACAATTGAGTTAAGAGTTAACAAAGAATGACAGAGTTATGGGAAGATATTCAGAACAGAGTGGTATTTTGCTAGACTTTTCTCGTTCACGAATCATGAAAGCATTTATTATAAATGAGTGATTCATTCTGACAAGTAGTCATAATTATTTTATGCCAAACTGACAGACTTTGCTTCGCTATCCATGGTTACGTCTCTGAAAACATCAATAGCATTCATTATTCATTCTCTATATGGGAGAGCATAGATCTAGGTGGGTACCTATACAGTTCCTCTCTTAAAATGATTATTTAGAACTTGCGGCACAGGTGTTTCTCTTCCTTCCCTCAAGAAATTTAATTTTGGTCTATTACATTAGAAGTCAAACATCTTTTTACCTTTTTTATGGTATCTTAGGAAGTATTTGGAATTTTCTAGATATTTTAATTGCAATATTCATAATATCAGCACCAAATTTGCTCTCCCTTATATAAAAAGATTCAAAATTGTTGTTGGTTTTATGAATTTTGCAAAAAACATTCTGATTGCTATCATCGATTATCCTTAGTCATTTTTTTTAAAGAAAACAATAGAGATACGGTTCAATTAATGTCAGCACTACATGAATAATTGCCGAACCATTATCCCTGACACGTTTTCTTGTCAATAAAAAATTTAACAATTGAATGTCTCGCCTGTGTTTCTCTAGATATCACTCCAACTATAATGTAAAAAGCCAGGGAGATTTAATTTCTTGGAACCAATTTACATTCAATCAGCATTCCATTGGCTTCACCCACTGAACTGAAGTTGGCAGAATCAGCATTTGTATGAAAATATGAAAGTACAGAACAGAGAACATTCAACAATCTTTGCTTTTCCTATGAATTATCACACCTGCATGAGATAATATGCTCTCGAATAGAATCAAAGCTAGTAACGTGTTTTTGTGAATGTTACTGTTAGTATAGCAATCTGGCCTAAGAAATTCCTTCTGCTCTGGGTCGTTCAACTCCATCAATATTAAAAGTTGTTCGAGTTCCCATCGTGTCCATTGGCGGAACCATCATTTCTTGGAAGAAGCTTCCTTTGAATCTTTGAGTTCATCTATTAGCGGAATAAAATAATTGTTTGTTGACGATTAGATGATTAGAATGTATGTGTCAACTTTTTGATAGTGCATGCTATTTTGAAAAATGTAAGGTTCACGATCTGATTCTGATATTTTTGTTCCGAAGAGTTTTGTTTGATATTGTTGAATCTAACCGTTCTACAGAGAAAACGATTCGTCCCAGGCATTCCGAGCTGAACACAATCTGAATTAAAAATTAAATCAGTGACTTCACCAAAATTTGAAAGAACTGAGTCATTCATCTAACTAATTCATTAGATGTTCATGGAATATAGAGATATAGAGAACAAAAGAGACAACAATGTCATCAATCTGGAATTTTGGCTACAGCTATTTAAATTTGTTCTAAAATTTGTTCTATCCGTCATTCGGTTGCCCCCTTACGAGCAACCCTCAAAAGTCTTCGAAAGTCTTGTGCGAGCAAGGAATGACGGGGGCCTTACCTTTTAACGTGTGATCCCAAACACTTTCTTGGGCCATCAGAAAAATTTCTGCAGTCGACGGGGATCGAACCCACGACCGGCAAGCGAATGCGAATTAGAATATAGACACTCTGTCCGCACGGCTACCTGGCCATCTGCTATTGCGTGATGTGATTTATTTTTCTAAATTATTTTCAATTAGCTGTCCGTTCCGGTTGAACTGGTAATGACATTAACTTCGTTTTTTAATGGAACACCTTGTATATTATTGCGTTTTTAGATTCTCCCTGAAGGGCTGATTCCATCAATATCACACTTGGGGTCTAGCGGGAATGATTACAGAGATATAGTGTTCAAAATCGAGATTTTTCAACTTTGGGATTTTTTGTGTCGAAACTATTCATTATTGGTCAAAACGACTTACATGTCCTTATCTCAACTTTCGAATTACTATCTATCAATGTTCCAATTGAATGTCAGTAGATAGTAATTCAGAAGTTGAGATAGGGGCATGTGAGCCGTTTCGACCAATAATGAATAGTTTCGACATAAAAAAATAATCTCAATTTTGAAGACCCTAAATCAAATCAAATCAAATTATACTTTATTGTCTGAAGAACGTAATTCTCATTGACAAAGTCATTTACAAATAAATAAGGTATGATAAATAATCAGGTAAAAAACTGAATAGGTATTATTTATAAATAGTACACGATAGGCAAAAGAACATTAAATAAAATTTGGTACAATATTTTTACCGTACGGGTCAACAACAACAAACATGAATAAATATAAAAAATATATTCCTGTAATTCCCGCTAGATCCCAAGTGTGATATACTGATGAATTCAGCTCTTCAGGGAGAATCTAGAGTGTACAATTTAAAAAAAACGAAGTACAACCGGAAGTGACAGCTGTTTGAAATTATTTTAGAAAAATAGGTGAGCAATGGCTCTCTGTATAGCCAAAGTTTCGATTAATGTCTCTTTATTTTTCGGAACTATAGCACAACAAAAGCCGTATGCGATAT